ACTTGAGGTGCGGCCTCACCAGTGCTGAATATAGGGGAACAATCACCTCTCTGCTCCTGCTGGCCACACTATTTCTAATGCAGGCCAGGATGCCGTTGGCCCTCTTGGCCACCTGGGCACACTGTCAGCTCATGTTCATCAGAGCATCAACCAACACCCCCAGGTCCTTCTCTTCTTCACACTCATCCAGCCACTCATCCCCAAGCCTGTAACGCTGCATGGGGTTGTTGTGCCCAAAGTGCAGGACCTGGCACTTGGCCTTGTTGAACCTCATCCCATTCACCTCAGGCCAGCGATCCAGCCTGTCTAAATCCCTCTGAAGGGCCTCCCTGCCCTCAGGCAGATCAACACCACCTCCCAGCTTGGTGTCATCTGCAAACTTACTGAGGGTAACAGGGGTGTAAGTGCATAGCTAAGAAAGGTTCAGGAAGCAGTATGCCACTTCCTGAACCAACTGGCACAACTGGCAATGTGGACCAGACATCGTGCACACAAATTCTTCCTTTGATCTTAGAGAAAAATTGAAAGCTTCACACTGAAAGCTAAAATCCATTCTACAGGATCTCAGAAGTCATGGATAAAACAGTATCTTATGACACACACATAATTACCTTCTCCTTTCCTTTCCCAATTCTTTCTTCTTCTTCCAGAGCTGGAAGAAACTGCATACCCTCCTGCACAAACAGATATGACCTCTCATTCACATTAAGATCCCTTGTATGACAGGGATCATATTTCTCTTTTCAGATGCTTCACCTGATGTAGGAGTATATGTGTCAGCTAGCTGTGCAGACATGAGCGTCTAAGCTCACACCACAAAGGAGATCAAGTCAGAAAAGTGAGCATTTCACATGTCAAAGTTAGTCACCTATGCTCATTCAACTGAATATGAATATGATATGATTTAGGCATATATTTATATATGATTTTATATATGATTTAGGCATATGATATATGCCTAAATGCAAGCCACTTTATGTTAGTTTTGGGTGGGATTCAGCAAATTTAGGTGGATATTTGGAAATTTGTACCTGTCCAGAATTTAGCACAAACAAACAGACGATGCTTCTTCCTCATTTCCTAATCCCTCTTACTCTAGTGTTGAACATCCTGAACTGTTGCCAGCAGGTCAAGGGAAGTGATCTTTCCTCTCTCGTCTCAGCTCTGATGAGGATGCACCTGGAATATTGCACCCAGTACTGCACCAAGTACAAGAAAGATACAGACTGGCTGGCCGGAGTAAATCCAGCACAGGTCCAGGATGACGATGAGGAAATTAGAGTGCCTTTCAGGATGAGAGGCTGAGAGAGCTGGGAGTCTTGGAGAAGAAAAGACAGTAGATTTTATCAATGCATACAAAAGCCTGAAGGTAGGGAATGAAGACAGGGAGCCATTTTCTTCTCAGTAGTGCTCAATGGTAGAACAAGAGCCAATGGTTACAAATTAAATTCCTTGAAATTTCATCTGAACGTAGGAAAAAAACCCTTTTTTTTTACTGTGAAAATGGTAAAAAACTAGAACAGGTTGCTTGGAAAGATTGTAGAATTTTCCTCCTTGGAAGTACTCAAAATCTAATGAGACATGGTGCTGAACAACCTGTTGTAGCTGACTCTGCCCCATTTGGAGGGTTGGACCAGATGTCAACCTCAGTGCAACTTTTCAAACAATCTGAGAACTAAACCTGACAAAATACAAAGTCATATTTCACTCCTGCAAAATTATTCCAATGACAAATATAAGATATATAAGATGAGAACCTGGGAACTTTTTTTTTTTTTTTTTTTTTTTTTTAAAGTGGAAAAGAAGGAGAGAGGATGGGCTGATGCATATGTATGTGTCCAATACAACATTCAGATGGATACTGTTTTCTAAGGTGTTTCGACTGATCTAAGGAAAAAATAGGCAATTTTTTTCTAAGCTTCACTAAAATAAATGATATGCACTGCAGGGAAACACTTCTGTATTCAGCTAATCCAGTTTTAAGTGAAATGGAATTAGGCTGCATCCATCTGACTTTCAAGATATACCTGGACCTCTAATCTGAAGCTCCCTAATTTTATGATAATAAAAGAAACTTATAAAAAACAAATCTGGACTATATGTGCCAAGTATGGTATATACCTGGCAAAGTAAACTGCAAGAAACGAAGAGTCATAAACAATAAGAAGATTAACAATGCAGATTACTTATAAGATATGTAAATATTCAAGACATGTGAATTTGTTCACAATATACTTTTTTTTTTTTAATAAACACTATGTATTTATACAGCATGCTTTACACAACATACCAGCAATGGAAACTACTAGGACCACACTGACATACTGAAAAAATGGAAATTAAGAGGTACTACAGCTTCATCTGCAGAGTAAAAAGTTGACTTGAACAGAGTATTCATATGCTGATTTGAAGTTAGTGACCTAGGAAGATATCTTTTACGTCACAGACAGCCACACAGAGCTTCTGTATTCTGATAACACAGAATATGTACTCTAAAATTCCCCATCACCAGGCATATTACAGCAACGCCTACCTGTCATATGCCTACAGTCATACACATGTGCAAACACATACAAAAACAAAAACCACAGAAAACATGAACTCATGACGTTCTTTTACATCCTGACATTTATAGAGAAGAGCATTAGCAAGGATGAATGCAGAAACCTGCAGCGCCACGTCTTGTAGCTAAAAAGCCAGGTCTCATTTAAGAGCATTCATTGTGTGTTAAAAATATACAAATTGTGAATTTCAATAAACCTAAAATGGGAACATCCTGAGGAGAAAGTGGGAAGCTGAAAACAATTCAGAAATCATGCAGGCTCAGTTCATTTTAACATTCCAGATAGGCAGAAGTGCAGTGAAAGCTAAATGGCAGCAGCATCACATACATTCAGTCATATGAGTGTGTAAGTGTAAGTGCTAAAAGGTGTTCTTATGGTGATTCACATTCCTCTTCAGATTACTTAATGTACTTGGAAACATCACTTCTTCATCCGCTTTCTCAAGAGAAACCAAATTATCATCACTAACAGATGAGAAAATGAGACTTCCTATTCACAAAAGTATGACAGATATGCTGTGTAAAAATGACTGAAATTCATAACACAAACTTTTTTCCAAACTGCAGCACTTGTTACTTATCTGCACTTGTTACGGCAGAGTGCAGATATCTGCTCGTTGCAGAAAAAAAACTTGAGACCGAAAAGAGCATGATGATGACTTAATTCATCCTGGCTGAAGTAATATGAAACTTTAAATATCTTTTTTTAAGCCTTCCTGTGACACATGGAAAGCTCAGTTTATTCCTGAGGGCTTACACCTATGTAGAACATACTGTCAACCTGCAATTAAAAAATGATCATTCATGAAAAAGAATCCTAAGAAAACTGCATTATAGATCTGAATAAAACTGTAAATTAAAAGGCAATTAAAGTAAGAACTGGAATGAAAAAAATGCTTGATCCATTCTTTCAAAGTCTGTATAACTAAGTATACACACTTCCTACTACCAGGAAAGAGGGGGTTGAAATGCCTTTCCTTTTCTTTTCCTCTCCTTTCCTTTCCTCCATAACGAACACCTGTTCAAAAGGAAGGGCTATTAAAAGAGCTAGAAGAGTAACAGGAAGGGTAGAGTGTTTGGAGGAAGTCACAGATTCTCAATTGGGCTCAGAGGAATGTGATGGTCTCCAGGAGAGGAATTCTGGTTTGTTAGTTACGCTGTTGTCATCTGTATTTATGGTGAGACCAAACTGCTGACAGACTACACCATGTACAGCTCCATCTCTCACATCAGTCATTTGGAGTACACAAAAATGGTAAGAGACCAAACCACTGAACTATAGCAGCAATATGTGACATATTCACAGACATTCCACTCTGAGTTTATCTAAATTCTAATCAGTAGGTTCTAAAAAAAAGGGTAGAATTTGAGTTATTTGTAAGATTGCATCAACCTAATAATCAGAGAATCATACAATGGTTTGGGTTGGAAGGGACCTGTAACATCATCTAGTTCCAACCCCCCTGCTATAGGCAGGAACACCTTCCTCTAGACCATGTTGCTCACAGCCCCATCCAGCCTGGCCTTGAATGCTTCCAGGGAGGGAGCATCCACAGCCTCTCTGGGCAACTGGTTCCAGTGTTGCATCATTCTCATAATAAAGAATTTCTTTCTAATATCTAGTCTAAATCCACCCTCTTCCAGTTTAAAACCATTTCCCCTTCTCCTGTCACTACATGTTCTTACAAAATCATCTATTTTAGAAGAGGAGGCACTTTCACTGTTTGAAAAGCAAACAATATTTTGAGTCAATGAATCACAGGTAGAGCTCCTAATTTGTAAGTTTGTAATTTTTTTCAAAAAGCTTATCATCATTTAACAATCTCAAAAAGTTAGTACAATGTGTTTTAGCAGTAAGTGCTTTAATACTAAGAACAGAGTCAGAAAGGAAAATGATAGACCACATCAACTTTATCTGAATGACACAAATAAAGTGATTTCCCACTCCTACTGCCTCCATCACAGTATGAAATGGCTATATGCATGTGTTCTAGGAGGAGAGCAAAACATGAAATCCCACCAGTAAAAAGTTAAAAGTTGCTTTCTGAAATAGATTTGAGGCTTGCTAAAAAAAAGTATAAATACCGGGGTAAATAGAGTATACAAGCAAACAGAAATGTAATGGGTATTTATACCATTTCCACAAAAGCTTCTTTTATAGCTGTGGATCTATGCCTGAGACAGTGAATTTAATTGCAGGGCTCAGACAACACTGGCAAACTGCAAATACTACCCATTTTGTTGTTTCATATCAGTTGTATGTCAGTTTATCACCAGCCAATCAGTATTTCACACTTTTAAAGACAAACTATTTACTGTTATAATCAAAAACATTCCTTAGTAATTGCAGCTCTTTTTTGAGTCCAAATGTACTGCCCTGATTGTACATATAACACAGTGTTTCAGATGATGCAATTTTTAAAACAGTAAGACTTACCAATCCACTTAAGGCTAAAATCCAGATGTAGGAACCAGAGGTTAAGAGCTAGAAGGTAAGAGTAGCAATTAAAAATTTTCATTTTACATAGCTGATGTTTCCTGAGCTACTACATACGACATTATGTAGGCTAAACACTTATCATGACCATCGGCAAAGTCACACCTTTATTTCTATGAAAATCATGTTTAACATTAACAAGTATACATTCCAAAAGTAGAACTGGAAAAAAAACACAGGGATAACAATTGTTCTTCTTCTACAGAACAATACATTTTATTTTCATACAGTATACTAAGTATAACAGGATGTCAGTTATAGGCTGCACAGAAAAACAAGTCTGAAAGACAGACTGAAGCAAAGGAAATGACTCAGCAGCAGAAGGAGAAGAGTTCCAAGCTGGGCAGTGCAAATGAAGCTCTTAGACATACAGCCACAGAGAGTTGAAGCATGAGTGTCAAAATTAAAGAATTAAAGTGCTCACCCAGTGACATACTTGCAGGCATGAAATCACACAAATTGGTCAAAGTGAATTAAAAAAAAATCTAGATATGCCAACAGGGTGGCCCACCCTTTCCAGTAAAGTGTACGTGACTCATCACCTGGAGAAGGTTATTCTTAGTTGGGAAAACAGGGTGAAAATTAGACTGATACTGATTACTAAAAGCTCTGTGAGATGCTGCCTGAATTGTGAGAACACCTCTCTGGGCTCACTATGGAAAGAGTGACTTGAGATAAGGGCAGAGTTTGCAAATGAGGAGAAGGCAAATGAGTTTCCTTTGACCTCTGTGTGACGGCAGTGACAGTTCTGCATGCAGGAGGGAAAGATCCTGTGGAGATGCAGCGATGAGTACCTGGTCTTGTATGTGTGAAAGCAAGAGGCAAGGGACACAAGGCAAAAGAGCTCAGACAGTATCACCATTTTCACAAGGACTGGAGTTATAGTGATGTTGATGGTTTTGGGAGAGAGGAAACAATATCTCTAATGGATCGGGAAAACAGGGTGCTGGAGCAGAAATCAACAGAATCCAAATGTTGAACAGCAATGCAGGTGAATGAAACACTCAAGCAGAGTGGGAACCACAGTTCTGAAACTGACCGCTCATTCTAAAATGCTCTGTACCACATTGTGTAATTATGGTGCTTTCCACTACTAGTTTTAGAACTATTTTTGAGTCCCTGGAATATATAAAAATGAGTACAATTTCTCATAATTTCACACATGCATAATTCAGATTGTGACATTAGAGTCATTTCTAGGCCACTGGGGGCTCACTACCGTATATCTGAACCAGGTACCCATATTTTTCCATTCACATTTAACACAACACTACTTGAAAGTACTGTGCAACACGTTACACTAAATTATCTGCTACATGGCAATGCTTGGTATAAAAATAACAAATTTATATGAAAGTGTAATACAACCAAATCCTTGGTTATTTATTAACAGTCTTAACCATAGAAAAATACTGTCTTCTATCTACAGTTTTGCTTGAGCAATATCAAACAAGGCAAAAATAAAAACAAAAATGCTAGCAGATTAGAAAGGTGAAAAATACATGTGTGTTTGAACCAGGTCCTGCTTTCATCTGGCTCATTTCACTGAATCCCTCTCAAATTTACAGAACTTTAATATTATGTTTTCCTATGCATGACAATCAAGACTGAAGACTGTGGAATAGAAGATAATCTCCCCACCACTTCACCCAAAAATATGTATCAGAATATATTGTTCAATATTGTAGTTCATGGGAAAGCACTAGCTAGACACAATCATGCACTAGAAGCATCAAAATCACGCATTCAGAAATACTAACTGCTATTAAGTCACTAAAAGATGAACAAGCAAGTACATACCATACCTGTAAACCCAGTATATAGACCAATGTCTTGTTTGTAATAGAAAAAAAGCCTAGTACTTGTGTCACCTGCACTCTTGGAATGGAGCAATAGAACGGTACAAACAGAGCAAACACGGGACCCAAGCTGCAAATAGAAAGATACAGACGGTTAATAAGAATGATGTTAGTAATAACAGTATGTAATTTGTAATGTAACAAAACGTAATTAACCCCATGTACATGATAAACAAAAACATGATAAACACTGCCTTGCAAAAAAGAGTATTCCTTGGGAACTGGTGACTTGGTAATCTGTGGCATTCAGGACAACAGATCCAACTACCAAATCATCTACTATTACTATCTACTAAATAAGCCTGCCAAGAAGAAACAGGTGATGAAAAGCATATTATTTCCAAGTATTCGGGAGAGGGGACAGCAGAGAAGGCAACATTTTAGCTTTAATAGCTGATTGTTTCCACAAAATACAGCCCACAAAAAGAACAGCAGTGGTCTTCCGCATCAGAACAAAATGTATTTGATCTGGACAAAAGGATTATATATATCCCCAGAGGTCAGGAAAATCACTTCACATACGAAGTTGAGCTCCCACTATTCACCCAGGTTTAAGGTGTTACAGTATTGAAAACAGGATGCAATAACGCAATATCTAAAATAGGATAATCAACAGTTTGATTTAAGTTCCACTTTGCCAATGACTCCCATGGCCCTAGAAACATCTATGATGGAGATGGGAAAAAAAGGTCAGTGAAGGAAAATGCTTTCAGATTTTAATGGGGTGGCTGGACATCTGTAAGCAAGGCATTATCAGCCCTCATTTCAGACTATGAAGAGAAACCTCCCATGGAGCTTAGTGCTTTGCTATAACTAGACACCCTCCATCCCAAAGCACTGTTTGCACAGGTTTGCCAGAATACTGCTCTGCCCAGGCTACTACATCCTAAAAACAAAGATCCTGTCCGGTTGAATTCCCCCCACCCCCTCACATCTGAGCAATCCTGGTATCATTCCCTGGTGCATCTTGCTGCAGTGCAGCAGGGAGCAGCACCATGGGCATTGAGATGCAGCCAACAGCTGGGCTGAGGGGTTCTGCAAAGCACACGTCCACCCCAGCTGGCTCATCACTGCTTCTTCTGACAGATCCGGGATCAAAGCAGAATTTTACATCATTTACCAGCTTATCAAAAGCTCCAAGACTTACAGTTTCCAAAGACCTTTATAGGACAGGGATCTTATTGCTCTCAGTGGGATTTCTGCACACAGCATAAATCAGAATACAAGAACCTCAAGTGTTCACTCAGAAATCATTTCCCTTCCAGAGGAGCTACCAATAGGTGTAATGCTATGTGAAATGATGGTCTGAATATTAAAACTTTCATTTCCTGGATAACTGCCAAATGCAACACCCACAGCTATGAAGAAAACCTAATGATTAAGTAGACAGTTAAAATATGTTGACTCATTTAATGGGCAGTGGCTTAACAATATTTCATTATCATTTTGATTGCTGTTTTTGAAGTTTAGCTTGCTGAAAACCTTCCTCTCTGAGGACTTAAATGTCTTTTAGATAGACAAAATGTCTTTTAGATAGAAGACATTAGAAACATTTTTAGTATCATCTGTTTCAGATAAGGCCAGGTCCATGTGGGTGTATGCAGGATACAAACTCACGAACTACTGAAAGATGTTCAATTTCACAGAGGATCCCTCTTATGTAAACTGAGAGCACTCGTACAAACACACATAACACATTCTTAAAATACATCCACATTATTTAAGTTGTAGGGATTGACAGACACAACTACACAACTGCCACATAAAAAATAACACTTCATTGGAACTGCTCCCATTGCCGACAAAATTCACCATAGTAAATTGGGATTCATAAGCAAAGAGAGAAGAAAAAGAAAGAAAAATGATTTTTCTGCTCTTAGAAAAGCCAGGATAAATTATTTCTGTCTAAATAATGTGATTCTTTCTATTCTTACCAAATTACCTGAGGGAGTACCAAAATCATGGCATGCTTTTCAGGTTTTATTCTTCTTGTGATAAATAGTGACTCAGATCAAGAAATTTTGCATGCAAGCCTGCACTCAATCATAGCATGGGAAAATACAAAAGGGAAATTCTCATGCTGTTGCAGCTCCCGTTCCAAAGGGTCAGGCCGCTTAAGACTAGCGAATGACTAGGGCCATTAGCGACACATACATCAACATGATGGAGAGGCAAATGGCGTTTATTGCAACTACACAGCGGTTTATATACCCTACATGCTTCGTCTACGCCCCTAAAGCATGCGTCATAAATCCATCACAGAGTAGGGGAGGTCCTGACACGTCACATTCCGATAACCCTGCTTTACGCCTACTACAACATCATGCCTAGAACTGTATTCTAGAAGAAGATTACAGAATGTTGAAAGGTTCCCTCAATGTTAATATTCACCACTAATGTCAGCAGAAAACATAGAAAGCACCATCTCAGATCGTGGTACTAATCTGAGTAACTCAAAGTCCAGCATTTGACACAGCTCTCTCTGCCTAATAATCTTGAGGAGCTTGAAGAAACAACAGATTTTTATAAAATTACTTATTTGTTAGAAAGACTTCTCATCTCCTATAAACGTGTATTACAAATGCATCAGGTATCCCACAAGTGCAGGGGGAGATGGCCAATGTTACTGCCAGTTGTTCTCATTATTACTGAAATGTCATGGTGGTCAGGTCCTAATGACTGGAAAAATGCAAATGCCAACACCATCTTCAAGGAGGGAAGGAAGATGATTCAGGTAGCACCTCACCTCAGTCCCTAGAAAAGTTACAGAGCAGTTTTCTTCACAGCCTTTTCCGGACATGTGAAGGACAAACTGATAGGCCATGTTGATTTACCAAGGTCAACCCATGTCCAGTCAAACTGATTAGTTTCTATGATGAGGTGACTGGCATCATGGACAACAGTCAACACATTGGAACACAAGGCTACATTCAGGTACATCTTGACAGAGAAATGGGCTGATAAGAATTTTATGGATTTCAACAAAAGCACCTGTGAAATCTTCCACTAGGGTTGGAATAACCCTGTGCAGCAGTATAAGCTTTCTATTCAGCAAATAGTCACAAAAGAAGCTGGAAAATAATTTTTTTGCCTGTAACTGGATGGTAACTGATGAGTGACTTTCCTGTCCTGCAAGGTTTTCCATCCTACTATCCCCATCATCCTGCTGAGGAAGCAGGAAGAGAAAGCGGCATGGTGGGTACCTGGTGACCAGTCAAGGCTGACCCACCACACTTGCTGCAAATCTAAGGGCTGGTACTTAAACTAGTTTCATTGAGTTAATTAATTGTTTAGCAGTATATGGTCAGATTTGGTATCTACTCTTTTGAAGGACTATTTTAGTTCTCTCTGTTCCTTCATTTCCTTCTCCTCTCCTCTTTGCTTTCCTCTTAATGTCTTTTAATCTTCTTTCCCTCCCTCTCCTCTTTACTTTCCTCTTTACTTTCAAAGATCCTGGTCCCAGCCTTTTGCTCCTTATGCTTACAACAATATCAGAAACAACATGGTTAATTAACACCCTGCCAATCAGTTTCTACTAGAAACTCGAGATATTCATGTGCAAAGAAGAAACACAGACTCAAACATACGCAGACTCTGTTTTTCTGCTCACCTCATGTTTAGGAAATTAGTTTCAGTCACATGGGTTAGAAAATAACATTTTCAAACAGAACAAAATACTCTCAGTCCCAAAAGATTAAATTCTGAAGTCTGAACACTTGACATGAACACAACGTCCACCTCAAAGGCCTACTGTAGGCTCTGGAATGATTATATCCTCATTTTTGAAGCATGTTAGATTTCAACATGTGCAGAGGAAAAAAAAAAAAACAGCACAGCAAAACAGTAGGGAACTTTTTCATGGAGGAAAAAAATGAAGAAACAATAATGTTGGAAAGAAAGCACCTGTATCCGTTACTGTACAGACTTCTGACAGAGAACAAAGACTCAAGGATAAGGATTCATCACTGAGTGAAACGGGTTACTCAGAGTTTAAAAGGGTGAATATTAAAAGCAGATTAAAACCTTTAATATTAGTAAGTATATGCACAAAATGTAGGAAACAATGGTTCTAAACCGTAAGAAGAGACGGGTAGTAAGAGACGCGTTACTTCTGCAAAAATATCTGCTGTTGTCAATGGAAGTTCTGTGGGATTCAAATTTGCAGAAACAACCTGTTATTTTATTCAGAATGACTCACTACATTTACTAACTGCGGTACCGTATTTTTCTTTAGTTCACATTATTTAAGTTCTTTATAAAAACATTAGCCCGACAAACCCACAACCGCTTGGTTTTTTTGGGGGACTGAAAATATCAGCTCTAAAAGCAGCTGCACATAATACGGAGAGAGTACAAACAGTGTGCTTGATCAGTAACTCAAGTTATCAAGTTTATTGAGTGCTCTATATTCCTACAGGCTGTCCAGGCACTGCCAAACTATGCATAAAGTAGCTGCCTTTGTTCTGAAAATGCTAAACTTTTTCTTGATGACATTTCTTAAAATTGGGTAGCTGCCTGACATATGACAGCCCTTGACAGCTGTGATCCTCTCACTGATGAAGCCCAGGATGACAAGCACCATCTATTGCACCCAACCTTTCTGCCACACATGAGCAAAACCAGTAGGTTATGTTACCCAATGCTGTATCTGATTGCCAGTATTTTGTAGGAATGCAGGAAAATGGAGGAAAAAAAATACCCCAAACAAGACAACCAAATAAAAACATTAAATAAAGTCATGCATCTTGAGGGGAAAAGAGAGTTTCCAGCTCTCTGTGAATATCCCAACAGAATAACTGCAACTTTGGGTTCACTACAATATGTGACCAATGAACCAACAGAATGCAGATATCTACTGCTCCTATGAAAAGCTTTAAAGGCTTTGAAACAATTTATTCCATAAGCTGCTTGGTTCCATTTTAAACCATTAATGCTTTCTGTTCTGTCCCTTACCATCAGCAAGATGACTAACAAAGAACTTTCCTCTTCTGCTGGTAAGAGACTTTCTTCTAATTTCAGTTTTATTTATCATTAATAAGATGTTACCATTGTCCTTTATCACTTTCTACA